TAGTTATAACAGAGCTTAAATTTGCAGTTGTATTTGAAAAACAGAAAAATTCCTATAATGGAAAAGATGTTGATATACAATTATCCTACTAACTGCCTACTTTATCAGCTGAATGATATCATAAATCTAAAAAGTTGCATGAGAGAGGCAGGCTGCTTACATTATGCTGCCCACAAATGTATTGAAACTTGAGCAACAAGGGAGCACCGAAAGAGTTACATGATTCATATTCTTTGATATTTCTTTGCAAGGAACACAGAAACATTATAATTAGTATTTCTAGCATAAGAGGCATAAAAGTCTTTCTGTGAGATGAGTAGATTAGTGTATAATTCCTCATAAACACTGCCGTAATTTCTTGTTTCAAACCACCAGTAATTTTTTGTAGTTGGAAGAGAGGATTTGGCATATACATGATAAACTTGTGGTCTTAGGGACTATAATGATAAAAAATAAAGTTTGGTTTGATTGAGGAATCAGGAACTCGAGATAAAAACAAATTTCCTTGAACTAGACAGATGTTGAGCAGGATTTCTAACCTTAAGCACTGATCCGAATGTTGACGCCCTGTCTGAAAGTGCAGGCCAAAGACGATCACATTTACTCACTAGCATTTGCAATCCCTACCATGTTGAGCATATTCCGGTCCTCCTTAAATCTTTCTAACACGGTGCCTTTACGAGCATCTTGTCTTTCTTGCTGTGTTCCTTTCCTAACAACTCCCCAGCATTCTATCGCTTCTGGGCAGATTTTACTGTTCTTTGAAAGGCAAGGGCTGTTGAATGTTGTGCAAGAGAAAGTGTGTCCCTGATCAAAGCCTGCTGAGAGGAACAGGCCAAAGTGATTAATTCGTCCTCCAAACCCAATGCCATTTGGAATGGCCTCTGAACTGAAACTAACAGCACACTGCCAATTGGAAATTTTAAGCTACATAAGTCAGTTGAACAAAACAATAGGCAGTTGAACAACAACAATACTGAAGGCCAAAACTAAAAACAATAGTACTAAATGCATGCCTAAACATAAAACGAAGCATGGAAATGCTAGTGTACACTAGAAGGAAATGGAATACTGCCGTGGGAACTGGGTGCTACTTTCCAACTACTAAAGTAGAAACTCAAGATGAAAGGAAAAAAAAAAAAAAGAAAAAAGAGTATGAATGGTCAGTTAAGGTGACAATAGAATTAAAATTTCTTTTATTCCAGCATCAAACCCACTTTCATCAATGATTTAAGAAGAATAAAATGTCAGACACAGAAACCCTTGAATTAACTGTCACAGTTTTAACAGTTTCTTTTCCAGTAAGATCTATCAAATAAGCAATGATCCATTTTACAGTAGCCCTTCTAGCTATAACAGAGCTTAACAATTAAAGATGTAGTTGCAAAACAGAAAACTTCCGATCATCAAAAAAGAAACGTTGATATACAAATATCCTACTGACTGCCGATTGCACCAAGTGAATGATACCATATTATCTTTCCCACAGGACTTAAGTAATCACAGCAAGCCAAATAAAGAAAGAAATTCCATTGGTGGTATCATAAGTGTGAGGACCACTGTATAAAATTCATTGAAATCAAACAAATAAACAATTCAAAAGCAAATTTGTTTCAGCAACGTAGAAAAGCAAGTAGAAACATACCCATTGTAAATTGTTGTTGGCCCCAGTTGGTCTGAATATAGATACCTTTGGATGGAGCTGAAAGAGAAAAGACTTCATATCTCCATAGAAATCACCATGCCTCTCCCAAGGCTGGGAAGCATAACCCCCATATATATAACCTTCATTATCCTTAATAATCAAGACAGTCGGCCCATTATCATTTCTGCAGTTCAATTGAACAATTATCCATTTCACTCCTACTTAAAAATAGTCCAGAAAGAGAAACTGAAATAAAAAAAAGCAACAACTCAGCATTTACACTTTCTTCAGAAAACAATAAAAAGAATCAAATCAAAAACAAAAGCAAATGTACACTGGAATGCTATCACCATTTTATTCAAGGAAAACCTGTGCCACCAATTTACATACTTGTGGGACATATGTATTAATGATATTTTCTAGTTGTTACTTGCCCAAAAAAAAGAGAAGCTTTTTATTACAATGGTAAGAGCAAACTCATTTGAAAAATAAAATCAAAGCTGCATCATTGGTGAAATACCAATTCAAAAGCTGACTTTATTTAATTGTGTAGACAACAAATGCAACCCATGCACCTAAAACTAAGGCAGCAGTGCAGCAGTGGAAAGCATAACAACAACCATTTAGCATATCATTGAACAATGGAGTTAAGTAGCAATGAAAATGCAGGGAAATGACAGGACAAATGCAGGGAAATGCCAGGACAGTCACATGACAATCACAATAAGATCAAATTAGAATGGAATGCATTGACATATTTTCAGGTCCAAATTTAAATTGAGAAGAAATTCACCAATAAGCAATGCCATGACTTACAAAGAATTACAGAATCATGCAAAGAAAAGCTAACAAATACTCATAGCTAGAATAGTTGCGTGAAAGAGGTAAGCTACTTACGTTATGCTGCCCAAGAATGTATTGAAACTTAAGCCATTTAAAGTACTATGATACAAAAGTTTCCATTCCTCTAGCTCTTGCTGGGAAAGAGCTCCTCCTATATGCCAAGCATACTCCTTTCTCAGTAACAACATACCAGAATCAATACTCTCTAAATGCAGCAATTTAGGAACTTGAGATCCAGGTCGCCCTACAAAAAGCCCCAACTGTGTTCAGTATTTGGTCCAGAAATTAAATTGGGCTTATTAAAAATATTATTATATCTGCCAGCTTACAAGATAACAACTATCAAGTGAATTTTGAGTGCACAATTCATTGAGTTATAACATATATGGAGAAAAATAAGTTTCCTTAATGAATCAGGATTGACCAAATTAAGCTTGAATGCAGAAAATCAAATAAAAACAAAAAAAAAAAAGGCAAAATAGAACTATTTACACCTGCTGAGATTTGTCAGACTAGGATGTGATAAAACAAAAATCCAAAACTCAAAATTTCCAACAATATGAAACAAAATTTTACATAAAGAAGTGCTATCATCAAAGGCAAAGTTAGAAGCTCAATGATCCAGTATTTTAAATTTTTCAGGTCATTACTACTGCTACTCTGCTACTAAATTTTGTTTAAGTGCATTATCTATTCCATCATTACAAGAACAATCCTTTTGAATGCAATTCCTCTGAACAAGAAACCTCAAGCTGCCACCATATCTACGGTGTTATTGTTTATGCTAAACTAAAAGTAACTAATATGCTACAGCTATTTACCATACTTCAGTCTATGATCTCTTGAAAAGTAATGCCAAATTTTGAAATAGTAAAACATAATTGAATCCATAAATAAAGGAAGAAGCATAAAGAACCTGAATCAGGTGGAATCAGTAGACTTCCTAGAAACTTTCTCAGAGATGGGATAAGTGTACACCACTTTCTGAAATCTTCGAAAGACATACTTTCATCATTGCATCTTTCATCACCCCTTGAGAAGGTAGCAGAATTAAGAAATATGTCCACCATGTCCCCTTGTGAACTTGATCCAGGTTCAGAACTTTTCACATTGAATATATCATCAAATATCGTAACTAGAACAGATTCTATGTCAGACCTGATATCAAGAAATGAATACAGTAAGTGAGAATAACTAAAAGTTTTCTTAAAAAACAAAAGACCAAGAACTTCTAAACGTTGTACAGGAATTTGTTAGCAGGGTAATTGATAAACATAACAAATATTCCACCACCCAACTGCATCTCAGGACCTGAACCTTTTAA